AACTCGGCTCAGCAGGGCACTCCAGCTGCTGCCAAAGGAGCCTGTTGTGCTTGCTTGGCCTCCTGCCCAGCACAGGGAAAAACACGGAGCCGCAGCAAACAAGAGCAGGAGTTGAATGCCTGCAGAGCCTTCCCTTGCAAGACAAGATGTACTGCAGATGAGAAGTGCAAGTGTGGCTCCTGTCCCTGACACTGTCGCTTCCCCAAAGGGCTTTTGACATGGAAATACCCTCTTCTAATGAGAAGTTCTCTAAATGCTGCTTTCTAGCACTAGAAGTTTGCCTCCTGGGACTTCAGTTTGGGAAAATACATGCTGAGCTCTAAGAACGTTATTTTAATTCATCGCTGGACATCCAGAATTCCCCTGCACTGTGCAGCTTGCAGATTTAAGAATGTCTCTTAATGATAAATGAGGTTACGAGTTACTGTTTGCAGACAGAGTACCTCTTCAGCTTTTATGTTGCTCTCTCCAATCCTGTTGTGCAAGAAATAGTCCAGTGACCAACCCAAATGTAAGAGCTGGTTTCTTCTGTTGCTCACAGTACTAAAAGCTGAGGGGAAAGGGCTGACAGCAGCAGCATGTCTGAAATGATGCGACCTAACTTGGTTGAAGAAGTGTTGAGTACTCAAGAGCACAGTCATTACAGACAACAGCAGGGGATAGCTACAGTATATCAGAAAGTACTTAATTTGGGAGTGATATTTGCTTTGATCCTGGAATAGCATCTGTTTGCAGGGGGTCATGCACAGTGCTGCAACAGCCTGTGGTAAGTGCCTGGCCACAAGCCATTCCACACTGACACCTCAAATAACCTGTCACATCACCTGTGCTCAGCACTAGCTGTGGCTCTTGTTTCGTGTTTCACTCTACAGACTTAGTGTGTCTCACTGTTGACTGTAAATGGATAAGTAAAGACAGAAGGGCTAGGACAAGAAATAATGCATTGAAGTGAAAAGATGTTCCATTTTTAGGACTGGAAAGAAAGCTTCCTTGAAGGTAGCAAAGGGAATTGAAGTGAACAGGCAGTAGCTGCAGAGTAGAACATCCTTTATCTGACTCTCACTCAGAGAGTGTATTCATGAGGGAGTTAAAAATCCAGGAAGCAGCTAACTTTCTCCAAACAAGGCTCATTTGTTTGGAATGACCTTGAGTCTTCCACGCTCTGATATAATGGACACCTGCAGGTTGACTTTGAGAGTCTGCCTTCATCTGAAGACACCCAGAAGCAGCCTTCTGTCGCAACGTTCAGCACACCTCTCTGCTCAGTAGATTTCAGTAGATATTGAGACAGTCCTGTAAATGGTGATGGCAGATGTAGTTTTTGTCAGTAGCTAATGTTGTTTCTTCTCCTGGCTCCTACAGAGATGTCATCGCCCTCCCTGAGGACTGGTGCATACATCCTCATTGCTGTTGGAGCACTCACCATGCTGATGGGGTTCCTGGGCTGTCTCGGAGCAGTCAATGAAGTCAGATGTCTCCTGGGTCTGGTGAGAGTATTCATGCTGTTCTAGAGCCAACCTTTAATACCTCTCCTGTGAAGTCTCTGTTGGATTGTGGCTGGGACTCTGGTCTCCTGGGAATGGTACTTCTACTAGGTCAGCTTAGATCTAGTCCTTAATTTGCACCCATTAAATTCTCTAGCAGCAGAGTTCCTCAGACATTGCTGATCATGAGCTACTGACTGTGAAATGAGAGCAGATGTCACTGACACTTTCTGCACACAGTGGGTTGAGGACTGCCAGCTGAGAAGTGTCTCAGGTGACCCTGTACCTCCTTCCCCCTGCCCTGACTTCCCAGTTCATAGTGTGCTCTCAGTGGGGGAAGGACAAGCATCAAGGCCAGTGAAAGAGAAGAGAAACAGTGCCAGTGTCCTGCTGTACTACGAAGTTCAGCTGTGGAAAATGCAAGAGTCGAGAGAGACTCGACTAGGAATGTCCTATTTGTCAGGACCTTTCTTCAAATGGTTCATCTATAGAAAAGTTGCTGTCTGTGATGGATGAGGTGACTCCAGCTTGATACACTCAGCCTGCTGCTTGGCTCTGGCTTATTCAGATCACATCTGCATAGGACACCAAGTACAGGACATCTCTTGTGTCCTGGTATTGGGAGTATCTCCTAGTGTAGTGGTGGCAGCTGCCCCTGTTTGAAAGTAACCTCAGCAGTTTGCTGGCCAATCTTAAATTCAGATCCTCAAACAGATCAAATAGCATTTTTTAAAGAGGTGATTGACTTGAAAAACAATTTTTAAAAGTTAGGTTTGTAAAATTGACTCTTTTTCTGTTGAGGCTCGAGGTAAGCAGAGTCCAACTGATCGAGGCCAGAATGATTTGGGAATGGAGTGGGAGGTGGGAGAGGGAGTCCCAGTTGGAATGACACATGCAGAGAGTCCTTGTAAACCCTCTCTCTCCTGAAACCTTCCTGTTGGCCTGATGGGAGAAGTGCTGAAGTGCGCTGGTCTGATGTGGATGTTTGTACTAATGCCTTTTCCTGGGAAGAGCATTGTTGATAGCAGAGTTTGTCTGCAGGCAAAAAGGTGTTAGTTCGGTTTTGTGATTTCTCTTGTATATGAAATCTTATTGCACTCATGCTGTTATGGACAGACCTTTCTAAAAACTGATAATGGTCATCTCTTCTGTTTCCAGTACTTCACCTGCCTGATGATAATCCTCATAACTCAGGTTGCTGCTGCACTGGTCATCTACTTCCAGAAAGAAACGGTAGGTGTTTCTTACTGTGCATGTTTTCCTTGGCTGTGGCTTGGGAGAAAGGAGACATCTAGAAATTCAGCTATACCATTAGCAGGCACAACTGGATTCTCCCTGCCTCTCCCCCAGCTTTGCTGTACAGGTTGCTTTGTCTGTGTCTGCCTGAGTAATGCTACTTTCTCAAGGATTAGGAAGCTCTGTTTGGTATGCAAGCTTTATTTTTGGGTAGTAGAAACAGTAAAAAGAATTCCTGAAAGGCTTTAGACCATACCTCCTCTTGATCCTGCTGTAGACAGCTATATAGGCATGTAGTAGCAGTGGTTACTACCATTTTGCCATCACTGGTGCCTTGAGGAGTTACCAGCCTGACTGCTTTTTTGGCTGGTCTCCCTCCTTGTGCCCTCTTGTTCCATTCTTTCAGTTTTTCTGCATCCGGATGTAAATCTCTCCTTGGAGGAGCTGTCCTCTTTCCTCAAGAGCCAACCCAAGTATATGACAGTTACTGTTCTACATCTGGAGCTTAAAGCCAAGTGGTGTGGCATTTTGAAGTGGATGTCTTTGTCAGGAATGCAGCTTCACAGTGTACACTTACAGAGCCTCCACAGGCTTGGTAGGGTAGAGGGATGAATTTTTGAGCCACCTAAGTGCATTGCAACAACGTGTCCTGGCTATAGGTTGTCTGACCAAGACAGTGCCTGGCCAGGCCTTCAGCTATTTGACTGCTAAACTGGGAGCCACATTTATGCAATGGGAGCAGTTATAACTGTGGGGTCACTACTGGCATCTGGTACCAGTTGTGGGTAACCATGTCCTTTGCCACGTGTATCTGTACCACTGCATGGCTGTGCTTGCTGCTCCTAAGCTGAACCTTCAGCTAGGTGGTTACAGAAAGCAGGTGGTTGAGGAAGTTTTGGCTGGGCCTGGTGGAGAAGTCTGGGGGCAGAGGGAAGGTGCCTGCCACAGCATAGCTGATAAGAGCCTGGTCGAAGTGGCTGTGGTGACTGTGAGCAGCTGTTGCTGGTTCCTTGCCAAATGTGCCTGTAGCTTGCTCTCTGTACTGAGACTGAAACTGGAATGTTGCCTGACTGGTGTGTAAAGATGCAGCTTGAAGTAAGCTTCTGATTCTCAAGAAATAGCTCTGACTAATTCAGGGGTGGAGGTGTGGGGATGGGCATTCCCCCGCAATGGGGAAATGTGACTTCTCAGACCACAACATTCTGTACTTTTGTTGGTATTTCTTCTCCAGCTGGCACTACTGTAGAAAATTCCAGATTTTAAGATGTAGCTCTTCATTTAAACCTCATTCAGAGCAGGGAGAGATTAAAAGTGCTGGGGATTATTCTGCACAGCCCTTGGAGCCAGCATGACTGAGACCATCACTTGTACCGATGTGGCTGAGTGGTCAGGGGAGCTGTGCTTTGAACAGATGCTCTTGTTCAGTCCTCAGTGAACAGAACCTATGGAAAAGCTCTTCTAGACCCCTTCTGTTTCAGGGATCTTCCAAAGCACCTGCCTAGGGTGCTAAGGAAAGCTGCTTCAGGCAGGTGTTGGCTGACAGCTCCAGCAGCCTGGTGTGAGCTGTGCTTCGGTGCTGCTGTGCATGTCGCTCTGCTCCGCTTGGTGAACGTCACCCCAGAGCACAGTCAGGCATACTGAAACTGCTCGAGATCCACTCCCTAGATGTCCATTGTTTTCTTTGTGTTTATTTCTTTCTGACTTCAGGAACTTGGTTATATATAAACCAAGGACTAACAGGAGTGAAGGAAAGGATCTTGGATCCAGAATGTAGCAAGGTGATACTCGCTCCTCCACTTCTTGTAACCGAAGTATTTATTTCTGCAAATTCACTTGATGTTACTGTTGGAATATCTGTTCCTTTTCAGGGTCAAAATCCTCCCCCATCCCAACAGATGAGAGTATACTGAAATAAAGTTGGTACAGCTGTGATGGGGCGAGTCTGACAGGAAAGCTGCTGTTTTGCCTCTCCCATGGGCCTTGTTAGAGGAATGCCCCTTCAGGCTGGAATTGCTCAGTCCTGCTGAGAGGATGTTGTCATGATTTAGGAGTGGTATTCCCCACTTTTATGTTCCCACTGACCCCCCCCAGCCCACACGCCGCTTGCTCACACCCCCAGCAGTGGGATGGAGAGAATCAAAGGCACTAAAGGTAAAGGTCATGGGCTGAGATAAGAACAGTTCACTAAGGAAACAGCAATGGAGTAAGAAAATGAGCAGTAACAGCTATATTAATAGCAGAGTGTACAAGAGAGGTGAATGACTCACAGTGAGGTGGAACCTGGTGCTGCCCCAGCACACACACCGTGCCCGACCCAACGGCCCCGGAGCAACGGGCACCCCTCACACCCTCTGTCCCCTCTGTGAGGTGGCATAGAACAACCCCAGGGGCCTGGAGTGCCTTCCTGGCTGCTGCAAGAGTTAGCCCTGTCCTGGCTGGAACCAGGACAGCTGTTAAAGTGACATCCTACATCTGGTGGTGACTGAAACCGTGGGGTGGTTTTGGTGGTTTTTTTATGGACAACAAACTCACAACTGTTACAAATGGCATTCTGCTTTGTGAGCTGAGTGTTGCTACTCACCTACAACTAGTGGATCACAAGCCCTAAAGGTGTGAGAGCTTGGGCAAGGTCTCCCTGGCCCTAGTTCACACAGCACTCGGCAGCTCAGCTCTGGCCACCCTGAGTGAAGGAGAGCAGTGGCCTTTGGGGAATAGCCCTACTTGCTGGCTATTGTTTGCAGCAAACAGGTCTGTGACTGTGTACAGTGACTTGGCTGGGGCTGCAGACTGCATTCATCTCAGAATCTGAAGTGACTGGGTGGTTGAGAGCTCCTTCCTGGGTTTTTGTGCCTATTTGTGTGTGCAGGCTAGGTGCTAATAGATGCCAGGGGAAGGATCCAGCCTGAGTCTGACAGAGGGACAGGACTGGTGACTGACAGTGTGTGGCAGTGGAAGAAGCCTGCACAGTTCATTCTGTGACGACCTATGCTTTTGCCTCTGGCATTCAGCTTTCCCCATCTCCCTCTACAGTGAGCCTGTGTGCAGGAGAGGCTGACAGTCTTGCTGCCCTGAAAGAGGTCTGTGGCTGATGCTTTGGCTTTAAATGCCCCCACTGTGGGATGACAGGGCTGTGCTTTCTGACACTGGACTTGCTGGAGCTGGGAAGCAGCAGGAGCCCAGAAAGGCAGGGTACATTCGTGTCTCACACAGGACTGAGTCCTGATGGACTCTAAGTGGGTGAAGATGGTGAGGATGTTGAAGGTCTGCCTAAGTGTTCCTGGCTTGTTGCTTTTTCAGTTTTCTGGTACCTAAGGGTGAACAGCTGCAGGTGCCTGTGTTTTCCCTTTGGGCTGCTCTGCCAGTTAAACCAACTGTTAAACCCACAAAAGCTGTTCTGTGTGTGCTCTCCAGAGCTGTGCTGTTGTTTGCATAATGTTCCCCCTTTCTCTAATTACTTTCTGGAACACCTAGGAATGCTTGAGATTTTCTTTCACTGAAGTGCCTCACTTCTTGAAACCAGAACTGTTTGCACGTCTTCTTGCCTGTTCTGGTGTAAGAGCAGGGGAAGAGCAGACACACAGCTTCCCTGTGCAGCTGTGACTGGGGGCATCAGGTTCAGGTCCTGTCCTGCTCCTGGTGGGGTCCTGGGATGAAGAACAGATGCCTTGCCAGGGATTCTTGCAGAAGTGATGCTAGGCTCCATCTGATACCTAAGGGGCTAGATGGGCCCAGGGTAGGAAAACAAACCCAGTTCTCCTTGCTGCCTGCGGCATGTGGAGCAGCAGTGTGCAGGAGGGGTCAGGGTGGCACTCAGAGGTTCAGTAACTGATAAGGCTTATGGCAGCAGCCGAGGCCAATCTCATTAGTGAGAACCAGGTCAGGTTGCCTTGATTTGAAGGGAAGGAAAAGGGGAAGTGAAGTAATTAAAAGGGGAAGAGAGAGACACCATGGGAGGAAAGATCATGCAGCTCCCATCTGTCTGGCCTGATGGAGCTGATCCCAGTGAACTGAGCTGCAGTTTTCCTAGGAAGAGGAGTTGCTGATAGAGGGAAGCTTCTCTCAACAGTAGGCAGTGCTTCCTCTTGCTGACTGTCCTGGTATTTGCCATGGTCATTTACAATGCTTAATAGTAGAAGAAAAGGAAAAAACTATTTCAGCTGATTTGCAATATGCTGTAGCACCACAGTCAAAAAGGTAATGTGTAGGATGGGAACATCCTGGTGCTCAGGTTAATGGAACTCTGTGCCATCCCTCGGGCAGTCTCGTGATGCTTCTCTCCAACCACTTATGGTCTGGGTCTGTCCTTAGCAGTAGCAGCTGTCCTCATGTACAGGCTGGTTAAGAAGAGCTGCTGAAGAAGGTGGGAGGAAGAAGATGAAGTAGTCTGCCAGGTGGCAGCTTGCACCTCTCATCAAACTGAAAGTTGTAAATATCTCTGGGTAAGGAGTGGGGCTGAAGGAACAGTTTGCTACACCTGAGCTTTGTGATAAGACTGTTAATGAGCAGTGTAGATAGTTGTACTTCACATCTTGATACAGAAACAGCAGTTGTAGGAGTTTGGGGAGGGGCAGATCAATGCCTTGTGCAAAAGGGAAGTTTCCACCAGCTGCATACAGAGGCAGAGTGATTCATTCCTTCTGCGAGCAGTGGAGATGAACTGCAGTGACTGAGAGTCTGGATCAGAGTATTTCTTGCAGTGCAAGGTTAGAAACACATTACCTGTGTGTTCTCAAGGCCACATCCTTCAGCTCACACTTCCCTTTCACATCTGTCTCACCTGGGGCAGGCAGTTAGTTGTTCAGCCTTTGTCTCAGCGGAATAAGCATAGCAGTTCTGTTTCCCTATTGCTCACCAACTTTGCAGCCCTTCTGTCTGTGCCTGGGAATGGACTTGCTGGGAAGTACTGGTGCTTTGGCTGTTGCAGCAGCAAAGCTGCTGTCTTACCTTGTAAGACTGAGGCTGTATATTTCACCCTCTCTGTACTTGTTACTTTTTGCTCTTACTTTTTGAGTGAATGATACTTCACATTGTACCCTAAGCCCCAAAGAAAAGGCTGAAAGAAATTGACTAACTCTCACGCTTTTTGTTTCCCTTGCCAGCTGAAAGAAGAGTTGTCCTACATAGTTATAGACCTGATTGAAGATTATGACCCTTCGAATGAAGATCGGAGGAACGTGCAAGATGTATGGGACTATGTGCAAACACAGGTGAGTCGTGGGGGACAGCAGGAGGTGGATGATGCTATTTGTCAGTGCAGGCAATGGCCTTTTAAGCTAGGCTGAGGACAGGGAGACAGATGTTGTGCATTGATCTGGCTGAACTACAAAGTTGCCTGTGAGGTTTGGTGCTTGCAGACTAGACAATGGTCTTGCTTGCTGTTACTAGGTCAGGCCCTGGACCATCCCTGCATGCTGGCTGCTAGGACCAGCTAGTGTTGGCTGCATGGCCTAATGTATCTGGCCTGTCAAATGGCATCCCAACACTTCTTTTTGTCTGCAGGGCCTCCTGAATACTAACTCGTGTGAAAACCACATTGGGTATGGTTTTTGTAGCAAGTAAAGTCCCGAGCTTGTTGCCAGATAAGTCAGCAGCACCACCTGCTTGGCGCATGTTGCTTGCTTATTGTGATGGTGGTTCTGCAAGTGTCAGCGTTCCTGGGAGCCATCCAACTGCCCATGGTTTCTGTTTTAGCATCAGGGTCAGCACTTGAGCAGCTAGAGAGTATTCAAGCACACTGGAGTCATGACAGCTGTTTACTGCCAAACCACAAACTTGAGAGCTGGCTGGCTGTTGTGGTTAAATACATGCCCAGCATGGGACTGATGTGTAGTAAGTACGAGTAACAGCATTTGTCTTCTGTCTGTTCTTTGGTCTACAAAACACTGACCTGTAGTATTTCTCCTCTGTGGAGGGAGAATGGTTTGTTTACATTATCACTGGTGGCATCTCCTTGCTAGTGAACTCAAGAGAATCCTGAGTCTGCTGTAGAGAAGGGCTCCTGCTTGAACCTTAGAAGAAGGTTTTTAAGAGACAGAGAAGTTGAGTGTTAGGAGTTTGCTTCCTCTCACACACTGGAGTTAGCATTTGAAAGGGACTGGGGTGTTCTGTAGACTAGTCTTGGAGTTAAAGACCAAAACTCTCATGAGACAGAGGTGGTTCCTTCTGGGGGCTGGATCTTCAGAGCACTCGTTTGGAAAACAAATGCTTGTCCTTGTGTGGAAGTTGATCTGTTTGTATCTCCTCTCTCACGTCTGTTACGGCAGACTGAAATGTTACTTTTCCCTTCTGAGCAGAGGAGAATTTTCTTTAAAATTCTACCTGGAGATTGGCAGCCTTTCTGCTCTGTATGCCTGTGCAAGCACTGGAATCCATGCTTAAGAGAAGATCTTAGCCTTTGCTGGACTTCGATGTGCTTTCCCCTCCAGCAAGTACAGTTTTATCACGTGGCTCTGCAGGAATGGAAATGTTTTGTCGGATAGAAAGTTCTCCTCATCCCCTTGTCCATGGTCCCACTGCAGCCAGGCAGGCACCACCTTGCCAGGACAGTGATGCCGCCGTGCGCTGGCTCCTGCTCTGCCCGGGCCCACGGCTGAGATCGGTGGCACCTCGTGCTTGGGGGGAGTGAGAAAACCAAGGAGATCGGTGGCACCTCGTGCTTGGGGGAGCGAGAAAACCAAATGCTGTTGGGATTAGCCAGTGTTGGCTGCGTGGCCAAATGTATCTGGCCTGTCACATGGCACCCCAACACTTCTTTTTGTCTGCAGGGCCTCCTGAGTACTAACACGTGTGAAAACCACATGGCGTATGGTTTTTGCCCCTAGCTTATTGCCAGACAAGACATGCTTGACATGCAGATGAGCCTGCATCATGCCTGATCCAAAAAAAGTGCTACTCCAAGAAAAATCAAGCATTAGCACTTAAACCTAGGCAAGTGGCTTCACTAGTGGAAGGCTAGGTAGCAATGCTTTTGAGGTGAGGATTTGAATGCATGTGGTGTCTTGTCAACATGTGAATCTCTTGCCTGCCTTGTGTCTCCCTCACCAAATCAGTCTGATGATGACAAACTGGAAGGAGTGAAAAAACCTCTCAAATGTGTGACAACTGCCTTCCTCCAGCTGTCCCACCAGTAACACCTGTTTTGCATTTTTACCTCTGTTTAGCATTGTCACCTGGAAGAGAGATGAGATTTGCTAGCATTTAGCCTGAGAAAATGAATCGAAATTGCACCTAGAATTGATGCTGAGCTCTATGACTAGCTGAAATCTGAGTCTCTAGGCCTCATGCAGTAAAGCATGTGGTCATGCTGTAGTGTCACTGGTGTGCTAGAGCTTTATGGGTGACCTGTGTGTATTACAGCCTACTAGAAGTGGCTCTTTAACTCTTGTTTTGCTAGAAGAGTGAGTCTTTGGTAGGAAATATGTCCCTGTCTCCTGGATATGCATAAATAACCAGGGTAGAGTTCTAATGCAGCTAATTCCTGCAGAGGGTGTGGCCTGACTGTTGCTGTTACATGGAGAGCTCCTGTGTACTTCTACGTTTATTGTCATGTACAGTTATGTTGCCAGTGCAAAATGTAAGACCATGGTGATCTCTCTCTGTTCTTAGATCTCCTGCTGTGGCTGGACCGGAGCAAAGGACTGGGAAAGGAATGAGGTTCTTATCAACAGAAGCATGACTCAGTATCCCTGCTCCTGCTCCAATAGCTCCAAGGACTCAGACGTAGAGAGTGGTTTCTGTAACCTGGATACTCCTGTCAATGGCACTGCAACGTATTCTGACTGGCCTGTTCATGAGCAGGTGAGTGAGTATGTCTGGGCCCTGTGCAGCTCCCACTGAAATCACCTTGTCTTGGTTCCTCTGGGAATTATTTAGAGCACTTCTTTCATGTCATTGTTGCTTGAAGTACCTGTGACATTTAGGGGAGGGGGGGGACAGGGGTCCATCCCTTTTCTGATAAAGCTGCTGTGAAACTTGGTGTAGCATGTAATTGGGATGATTCCTGCATGCGAAGGAGATCTGTTATGGTTTTTCAGTTTTGAGATCTTTAGATTCATGCTGCTTTTTCCTTGTGACTGTGCTTTCTCTATAGGGATGCATGGATGGTGTGGAGGACTGGGTAAAGGACAACATTGGCATCATTCTTGGGGTTTGCACTGGTGTTGCTGTTATAGAGGTAAGTCACTCCCTGACATGAACCTGTACTGTCCTACCAGGGAGACTCTTTTAGAGGTAAAGACATTCTCTTAAGTAACCTGGACCTCTGAACTGCTGCTTTCATTGACTAGATGAGCAATTGAACAAAGCCCTATCTGCTTGTGGTTCCTCCTGCCTTGTCTGACACTTCGCCATTCACTGTATGCATAACCAGGAAGACTGAGACAAGCTCCATCCCACTAGTGAACTCCCCTTGTTGCCTTAAGAATCCCATGGCATAAATTTCAGATGAGGTCACATCTTGATGCAGCCCAGTTTTCTGTCATGACGATTTTCGCATTTGCCTCGTGTTGCAGACCAACTCTGTTCACCTCTGTGGTGTCATTAAAAGGCATTCACTGTATTCTGCTCCCCTGTATCACCCATTCTTCCCACCTTATTATCTGTCTGGTTGCTGATTTTGTTCCCATTCTCCATACTTATTCCAGCTGCTGGGGATGATACTGTCCATTTCGCTTTGCAAGAACATACACAGCGAAGACTACACCAAAGTGCCCAAGTCTTGAGTTGGCTGAGTCCAGAGCTACGGCACCACAGAGAAAGGAGCAAACAGAACATTCCTGCCTCATACCCAGACTGTCCAACCATTGACCATTATTCCTGTGACATCCCATTTCTGATACCACTCTGCTAAGAACTGTTAGAGCTGCAACACAGCCTGATCTTCTGGCAATAGGGCCCCTGGGCCACCTGCATCCTGCCTCTGGATTATTTCTACTTCAAGAAGCAGAACTTAAACTGTCTCATATCACATGAGACACCAGTTAACCTGAGGGGACAATGCTTTTGCTGCCTGCTCCACGTTAAATAATATTATTCATATCTTCATTCTACAACCCACTGGGCCTAACACGCAATAACTCCTCTCCCCCTCGCTCTTCTCCTGCACAGCTTTCCACCTACCCCCAGAAGTCCCATCTCTTTGTCCCATGAGCCAGGAATTCTGTTGAGATTCCAGTGCTTTGGTAGCTTCACCTGCTTCACTGACTTGTGGTGGTAACTAAACATGCTTGATAGGCCTTCTCCTCCCTTGCAGTTAACCTTGTTTGGCTCCTACTATGCATCTTCCATCCTAGGTTGTCACCTGAAATGTCGAGTGCTACCATCATACGCGCTTCTCCTGCTTCTGGAGTCAGCTCTGCCTTGCCTTCAGTGGAGCTCTTCCCTTTGAGCGTGATGAGAAGCCACCAGGAGGGAGCCAAGCCTACCTGTTTATTCCTAGTGTGACCTGGCAGATTGTGGTGGAGGTGCTCAGCTGCATCTGGAATGGGTCCCTTGGGTTTTGGAATTGACACTTAGATGTTTCTCCTGCTTTACCTTTTCCTCTCCCCCTAGCTCTGCTTCACTGGCTCCTGTCAGCTTGGAGGTACTTCAGAGACTGCTACGTAGTGTGGCCCCAGGCTGGCTCTGCTGGTTGCATTCTTGGGTTGCCAACTTTATAGAGGTTACAATTAATTTGGTTCTTTCCTGCCCCCTTTATGAACATAAAATTTGTGAGCTGTGGTTTTTGGATATGAATATGGAGGGATCTGACTGGATTGGTGATGCTGTATATTGGAAATATTGCTACCAGTGCCCAGTGTGGGTTCTGTAGTTTGGATGCAAGGGTCAGTTGCTTTTATTTCATTCGATTCAGTTGTCCAGTCTTCTGACTCCACTGTGGTCTGGAGCTGTGGCTGCATCCTGAGTTCTAGCTCAAGTGCCAGCACTGCAGCAGACAAGTAGCAGGTTCTGCAGTCATGCAGGTTGGGTGGTTT